TCACTGATCATTAACGCTTTAATATCATTAAATCGATTCCCAAAATGATACGGAAATAACGATAACATTTCTCTTTTGCAGAGAGCAAGGCAGAATCGCCTCACCTTAAAAAATAGGAAAAAAAACAAAAAAAAACGGGAGTAATTATCAAGTTAAACACAGCGGCACTAATTTCCGGATGTATTAATTAAAGCTACAATTAAGTTAGAAAGTGAAGTGCGCAGAGGGTGGGAACTAAGGTCAGTCCAGGAATCTTCTTTTGTTAAGAAAGGTCAACCTGTCGCTTCTTTCCTCCCTCCTTCTTCCTCCCTTCTTACTCTCTTCCTCCGGTTTTTTTCTTCATTTCCTGCCTTTTTGTCTTTGCTTTCTTTTTTTTCCTCTACCAGTCTTGTTTTTCGTTTATTTCAGTTCCTTTATCTCTCCTCTCTCCTCTTTCATCGAGCTTCTTCGTCCCCACACTTTCTTATCTTCTTCCTTCCTTGTTCTATCTCCCTTTCAGTTTCCTTTCTTCCTATTTCCCTCATTTGTTTATATTATCTCCTTTTTCATTTCTATTTTCTCTCATTTTATTCTCTCCTTTCTTTTCTATCTTCCATCTCTCCCTTCTCTACCTCCTTCTTCTTAATTTTCTATCCTCCCATTTTTGTTTCTTACTCTTTCCCTTCCTTCTTACCCCTTCCCTTGCCTTTACATCCCCCTCCCCTTCTCTCTGCTTATCTGTTTCCTTCCTCCTCTTTCTCACCTACCTTCTCTTTTCCATTTTTCTTCCTCCTCTTTCTCACCTCCTTTTTTCCATTTTTCCCCTCCTCTTCCATCCTTTCCCTTTTCTATTTTTCTTCTTCTTCTTTCTCACCTCCCTTCCCTTTTCTATTTTTCTCCCTCCTCTTTTCCACCTCTCTTTCCCTTTTCTATTTACTTCCTACTTCCCTTTCTCATCTCTCCCTTCCTCCTCTACCTCCCTTCCCTTATTATCTCCTTCCTTTCCCTTCCCTCTTCATCTCTCTTTCTCCTCTTTCTCACCTCCCTTCCCTTAATATCTCCTTCCCTTCCCTCCCCCCTTCTATCTCTCCTTCCTCCTCTTTCTCACCTCCCCTTAATATCTCCTTCCCTTCCCTTCCCCCTTCCATCTCTCCTTCCTCCTCTTTATCACCTCCCACTGCCTACCTCCTGCGACGTCGGTGCGCCTCCCTCCTGCTCTCCACTCGGAAAATATTTGCATTTTATTTTAATAGGCCTACGTCGACGGGGAAAATGGCGTCCACTTCCGGGTCTTCGAGATCCAGGTGGAGTGAGTCGGAGGATTGGTTGATCTGCTTGGAATTTGTCTATTTATTTATCTATCTGTCTGTAAAGGAGTTTGCTTGTTCTGCTTAGGGAGGGGGGGGTGTGTCTGTGTCTGTTGTTCTTTACTTTCTCTGTCTCTGTCTCTGTTTGTATGTCTGTCTGTGTCTGTCTGTCTCTCTCTCTCTCTCTCTCTCTCTTTCTCTCTCTCTCTCTCTTCTCTCTCTCTCTCTCTCTCTCTCTCTCTCTCTCTCTCTCTCTCTCTCTCTCTCTCTCTCTCTCTCTCTCTCTCTCTCTCTCTCTCTCTCTCCTCCTCTCTTCAATTCCATCCTCCCTCCCTCTCACCCCCTCCTCCCCCCCCCCCCCTCTCTCTCTACGCCACCCCTCTCTCGCCACACTTGCTACAGCTGGTCTCACTTTCACAGAGCATGTGAACACTCACCTGCACTACCTGCAGGCACCTGTGAATACAACTAATCAATGAGAAGCAAAGTGTTAGGCTTCTGGTTACACTGGGATGACGTGCCATTTTCCTGACCAGTGATATATGTATGCATGGTTGTATTGTCTGTCTGTCTATCGGATCTATTTGTCTGTCTGTCTGTCTGTCTGTCTATTTGTCTCTGTCTGTCTGTCTGTCTGTCTGTCTCCTCTCTGTCTCCTGTCTCCTCCTCTCTCTCTCTCTCTCTCTCCCTCTCTCCCTCCTCCCTCCCTCCCTCCTCCCTCCCTCCCCCCTCTCTCTCTCTCCAACTAAAATCTTGTTTATGTATCTTCTTCACTTTAGATCGAGTTTATTGAAGGACTGTAGAACCTAGTCAGAAATAAAACTCATACGCAATTTACAAACAAGAGCAAAAATATTTTCGAGTTTGCAAAAGGCAAATAGCATTGCAAAAGATGATAGAAATACTAATTTAAACTCTCTAAATGGGCTGTACATCTTTTTGAAAACATCATCTTCATAAACTGATATTCTCGTCGGTATTATTTCATAAAATCGTATCATTATTTTCTGCGTGTGTGAAACTTTGCTGCAAACTAGGTGATAGTAACATTATATGCAGCAGAATACCAATTAATATGGATGAATCATGGGTTTATTTGAGTAATGAATAAATAGATAGGTAAACAGAAATAAATATGTAAGTAAATAGGTGAATAAATAAATGAATAAATGATTAAACATATATATATATATATATATATATATATATATATA